GAGGAGTCGGAGTTCTACACGTGCTGAGTTCAAGGAGGGAGGAAGACCTCTGCAGACAGGCAGTTCCACATTCATGTATGTGCAGTTAACTCCAGAGAACTGTGCCCTTGCAGAGGGTCATGCAAGCTGCAGTAGCATATTGGCAGTTCCACCACCTGGGGAGTATAGAGGGTGTGTGGGGCCCAGACCCAGGCCCCAGGTTGAACTGAACTCACCAGGTGCAGCTCTGTGCCTGGAATCGTGCCTCACTGAGAGCATGGGGAACAATGATTGCAACAGCAAGACCTTTTCAAAAAATATCTGCCACTCTCCCTTTCCTTGTCTCTCTTCTTTCTCACATTAAAGGAAAAAAAAAAGGTTTATCACCAATCATGGTAGCACACATTGGACAGTGCTGCTTGGCACACTGAGGCCACATGGGAGGCCTGAGGTCCTGGGTCCAGGTTCACTGCACCCCGATGGATGGTGTGGTGCACAACTGTGGTCTCAGCTACTCAGGAAGTCGAGGAGGAGAGGTCACAGCATGGCGACACCCTATTTACAACAGCATGCTCAGCACCCCCGGGGGATGTCAATGGCAAAAGTCACCTCATCCATCTAGCTGGTGCATGTTACAGCAGGGGGACTGCTGGGACCAGCTCAGCGTGAACACGTTCTCTGAGTGGGGACAGCTGTGGATTAGAGATAGACGCAATAACAGACACACACAGACACAGGAGTCTAGAAACGCAAGGGTCGGGTGGGCACAGCTCTGATGGAGAAGTCGCCACCAGAACCAGCCTCGGGTTTATTCTTTTATAGGGCAGAAAATGGGGGAAGGGGAAAATGGGATGCAAAGAGAATAGGGGAGGAGGAATCGGAATGCAAAGCCAGTGTTGGATGTAAATTGTCTGAAGATGTGAAAATGGCTGGCGCCATGTAATTTCTCTGATCTTTTTGGGGGGACAATTTGATAAATTGATGGCAGCTGGGCATGTGACTTCCTTTAGCTGATACTGGGTAGTACCGAGGTATGGGTAACAACAATAGGAAGATAACCATTGAGAACAGGCAGGTACTGCTTTCCTATGGAGATGCTTCTCATCTCCCTGCTAGAGGAGCTTACGGAAGCATTTCTGCATGTGTCTACAGGCCACATGTCTTCAGACTGGCTGCTCCCCACAGGGAACCACAGAAATGACAGGACACAGGAGGACACAGGGTGTGTGAGCCCCAGCAGAACGTCTGGAGCAGACTCCAGTCTCACTTTCCTGCTTCTCCCCTGAGTCTTCATCACGATGTACCCATAGACGGGTCAGTAGGGTACCGGTTTCCTGGGCAGCTGCCCATAAAGTCCTCAGCAGAGGAACCAAACGCTGCAGCTTGTGTGTAAGCAAAACGACGAGCCCTCCCCGAAGTGCATCCTGTCCCCAGAGTCTGGGGCAGAGCTTGTGAGCAAAGGGGACTGGGTAGATGTGATTAAGGGTCCAAGATGAGAGGCTATCCTGGGTTATCCAGATTGTTCGGGACAGTCACAGGGTCCTTAGAAGTGGAGGGAGGCAGAATGCAGGGGTCGCAGTGAGAGCTGCCCACCCGGCCTTCTGCTGCTCACTTTGAAGGTGGAGGAAGGTGGCTGCCAGCCAAGGAGTATGAAGCTGCAAAAGCGAGGAAGGGATTAGCCCTCAGAACATCCAGAAATCATGTGGCCCTGATGCCACTGTGGTTTCAGCCACAGAGCTCCGGCCTGACTCTACCCTATGGGGGTGCAAGAGGATATTAAGCCACTAAATTGATGGCAGCTGGTCACTGCAGAAGGAGAAGATGAAGGCAAGCTGGAAGGCTGGCTCTTATCACCAAGGTCCCAGCTCGAGTCCACTCGTAGAGCAACCTTCTGAAGCCACCCTCCCTGTGGTCACTCTCCTATCACTCGTAGTCACTGGCCCTGTGCCATTCGTCTTACCTGGTACTTGTTACATGCATGCGTGCACCGTCTCCATGTCTGCCCCCACTGGACAGGAGCTCCGAGACCTCAGACACCTTGGTCGCTGGCGTGTCCCGAACACCGGAAAGGCACCTGGCACCGTGACGCTCCACCAGTCCCAGCTGGCTGGCGAGTGCATGGGGTCAGACAGTGGTGCAGCTACATGGCCGTGGCCGTCAGCAGTCAGCAACACTGAGCCCATGAGGCGAGGGCTCAGCACTGCTCACCATGGTAATGGCCTGACCCCGCTTCCCACAGGACGACTGACACACAGTTCACACCCTGTCACAGGCTCTAACTGAGCCTCCAGAGGGCTCCCTAATGCTGCTGCATCACCCTGGGAGTCTGCGCCCAGAGGATGAGTGATGAGTTTCCTTGCCAGCCAGAATGGGAGAACGTGTGAGATCTCCCACAGGCACTTTGTCCGAGCATAAGGATGGCAAGTGCTCCCTCTGGGCTGGACACACTGGGTTTTAGAAGAGGCCCTGGCTTCTCAGATATTTTTCAGAATTATCTAAGTTCCACAGACAGGCAGGTTCTCCAGAAAATGACTTCCCAATGCAGACCAGGAGGGCAAAGAAAACAGGAAACTGTCTGGGTGTTACTGCCGCCTAACTCTGGAGTGGAGGCAACAGGAACAGGGACAAGCAGTGGAAGTGCAGGTGCATGGAGCCTCGGGACAGGACATGCCGGGGGCTGCACCTGCAGTCAGCCCAGATGCACCAGGGCCAGGCCAGCATGTACAGAACAACGTTTACTGAATCCATCTTGGAAATGGACAACATGAAAGGGTTCTGGTGTGGGAGCTCACTCCGAGTTGCAAGTCAGGACTGTTTCCTGTCGTTAACCCTCAGTCATAGGAAGATCCTAGTATAATGAAAATAAAGCTTCCTCTCATAGAGGGAAGGGAAGTGGTTAAAAACACAACAACTGGGGACTAGCAGTTGGCATAATGGCTATGTTGCTTGGCTCCCATGTAGTCGACCGCAGTTCGAGTCCCGGACCCGGTGACTTAAACTCACGCCGGGTTCATGTGGGAGTGTGTCCAAGGTCCTGAGAGGAGAATGGAGGAGAAGGGATTGCGGCATGGCCATCCTCCCTGGGGGGTGATTTCTCACTTTCTGTCTCTCTGTCTCTGCCTCTCTGGTGAGCGCACGCACCCTATAGCAAAAACTTCTCAAAAAAAAAAAAAAAAAAAAACAACCACCACTGCTCTCAGTATCTCTGATGCTGGAATGCCATGCACACCCACGTTTTCATGAAGTGCTCGCCATTCAAATACCAACTAAAGCTGTGAGCCCGCTGACTGACATCAGCAGTTGTGTGCACTGGGCCCATGCCAAAGCTTCCACCTCACCTGAGAGCTTGCTTATTTAACTGATGGCTGCTTTCCCCGTCAGGTATATTATATGGAAAGGCAGCTACCCTCGCAGACTGAGAAAGCAAACCCAAGCTTGATTAATTCCTCTGACGGGATCGATGAGCGCGAGGCTCAGGCACGTACTGCGGTTACTGGCAGGGACAGAAGCCATCAGTTAAACTCTGTTGCTACCTACTGATGTTCCATTTGTTTGTCAATTTGCAGACTTTATCCAACACATACACAGAGACTTTGCTGTGATTTGAAATTCAGAACTCCTTTGAATATTTTTCTCCCACTATTTATTTTCTTAGAAGAATGAAAATGAAATAATTCTTTAACCAAATTTTCAAATTACAAGCCATCAAAAGCACAACTTCAAGGAACCAGCAGTTAGCATAATGGCTATGTTGCTGGACTCCCATGTAGTCGACCGTGGTTCGCATCCCAGACCCGGTGGCTTAAAACTCACGCTGGGCGCGTGTGCGTGCGTGCCCAAGATCCCGAGAGGAGAATGGAGGAGAACAGATTGCAGCGTGACCATCCCCTCTGGGGGGTGATTTCTCGCTTTCTGTCTCTCTGTCTCTCTCTGTCTGTCTGGCGAGCACATGCGCCCTATAGCAAAAACCTCTCCAAAAAAAAAAAAGCACAACTTCAGTCATATTTCAGATCTAACCCAGGAAGGGAATGTCACTGAGGCTTAGAGGAGCTTCGAGGTCTCCGCTCCTGCTTACCCTCACCCCCTCAGCATTTTCAAAAGCCCTACAAACACGACTCTGGCAGACACAGGCCATTCTGGACTGGAGTCCAGCTGCTTCCGGAGATCAGCAGCTAGGAGTGGGCCCTGTCTACCACAGTTACTTTATCCTGAACAGCTTCCAGCCTCTTCCCCGGGGCTTGCCCGCTTTGCATTAGAAGTCACGGCCCACTCGAAATGAACAGTGCAAGACCCTACGTGCAAATACTTGCAAGTGACTTTTTTAAAATGTCACGAATTTTAAAATCCAAGTCCAGATACAGGCTAATTGGTATCAGCCAGTCCCTTACACTCACAGCAGGAAAACGGCCCATTTCTGGAATGAGAGAGAGATTAAGGCAGTAGCTACTCCTTTGGAGGTTAGTCCCTTGTGCTTGGGAGGAAGCTTGAGGGAACTGAGGCCCAGGAGAGGCTGGGCTGCTCCAGCCTTGCAGCCCTCCTGGGCCCAAAGCCAAGGCCCAACACAGGACAGGGCGAAGCCTCGCCACCAGGGGGCACTCT